CTATAACACCTACAAAGGGAATCGCAAATAGTTAGAATCTAAAAAAGTTTCCACAATTAGTGGCAGTTGAATCATGAGGTGGGAGAAAGCTCATTGGAAATAAAGCTACAAACAACACTATTATGCCAAGAGCAAATTATGCCTTTTAAGTGTAGACATTAATAGATGTAGGTGCACAAAATTACTTAATTTAATTGATTCCTTTATGCATGCATAAAATTTATTTTTATCTCATATATGAACGAAAAATAATCCCAAGGAGCACTGTGAATGTATCAATCTTTTGAATAATAATAATATAGGATTTGAGCATGAAGCAATATAATGCTATAGAAGATTATATAAGTACTAATACAAAGTTAAAACTGGTATTTAAGCATCGAACAGTCTACCATAAGCACCAGAATACAGGAAATTGCGAAATAAAAAAATGAAGGTTTTAGCAGAAAAATTAATAGCAAATATTCCTATCTTACAATAAAAACATCTAAAATGATATATGAAAATAGTGAAGTAAAAAGTAGAATGCATAATAAAATATGTCAAAAATAAAAAAAACAACTATTAAGTTTAACAAACATCACCAAAGTACAAAAGAACAAATAAAATGCAATAACAATATACCCATAACTAAATGTCATTCAGAGAATCATTCTTCTCAAGAATCTACGCACATTCACATATCAAATTTCATCTTCCATATAATAACTCACTTTTTCTCTTTCCCTGAATATCAAAAAGAAAGATCATTATATGTTAATATGACTCAACTTGACATAACAAATAGAACATCAAACAGAATTAATAATTGTGGAATACCTATTTACTTTGATTTTTGCTGAAGCTAGTGAAGACACAATGTGTGTAGTCACAACGATCTAGTGGATCCACACTTGATCTGCTTCGCCCCTCAAGACATCCACACTTAGATCTTCTAACTGTAAGTCTGATGATGGCAAATCTGTCTCATCATCTATGAACCACTCATTATCAGACTACACATCATCACACACCAATGGGTCCTCATCATCCTTCAACCCCTTATTCCTCAACCTCCTCTCTCTCAACCTCTTGTTGTGCATAATATATACGAGAGAGTTCATTCTGAGTGTTGATAGCCGATTTCTTCTCTTTGTTTGTACTTGGCTATATGTACTCTAGTTTCGCTCACACCCAGAAGAAGAACAAGTGAGGCCCAACACTCTTACAACAAAACTCTGTATCTCAGGGGTGGAATCACCAAATTGGATCCACCATTCAACTGTTTTCAAGAAAAAATATAATCATAACTGAATAAAGTGTCTTGCATTTACCAAAATAATTATACCTGGAGACCGTTTGAAAATGGTTAATTTTGCTGCATTCAAAAAAAAAAAAAAAACCCTCTTTATTCAGGAATAAAACAAGTTGTAAATCTGCAAGCTCCCTATCTGCCTGTTCCGGTATTAGTCTTTCCTACAATGATATAGACCAAGCTTCACCTCCGGATTTGAATATTTCTTCTCTGAATATTGAAATTGAGGATTGAGATAATATGCCGCTGCATGTAGATGACGGTGTAACTGCAACTCCCACCGAGCATCAATGATATCCCAAATCTCTCTATAACTTGCCTCTTCTCCTCCCAAGTTGTGTGCAATCAACTCCTTGGCCTCATCTATAGCATTATAAAACCCATAGCTGGTTTCTTCTCTGCATCCATTAAGCGTAGTACTTGCACTAAGGGTCTCATGCTCAAAATGACATAGGTCACAGTAGCCTAAAATTTATCATTCAGAATTATTTTTCTTATTTCCTTCCCCTCTCTTTTTTTCCCCCAAGCAGAGTTAAGCCATTCAGTTGATGTAAACATTGCTTCCAAAGGTTGCCTCACCTCCATCAAGCTCTACAGTGTCAAATAGGATGTGGCAAACCTATAGATTCACAGTGTACAAATGTAAGAACTAAGAACATACAGTAGGAATGATTTGCAATGTACAAATTTAAGAACATACTTAGTGGTTGCAGGGCGAATGATTTCTTTCTTTAAAAACTTTCACATCAAGTTTAAGACCCAAGAGTAATTGTTGATGAACTTTGTAATATTCTTCGCCCTAGAAAGAGCACTCTTATGCTGAGGTAAGTCACCAAGATCCTCCAAAATGAGATCGATACAATGTGCTGCGCAGGGTGTCCAATATAGGTGTGTCCTCTTCTTCATCAACATCTGACCAGCTTCTTTGTATGCACTGACATTATCAGTCACTACCTAGACAACCAATTGCTCCTCAATCTCCTCAATTACCCCATCAAGTAAATTGAAAATGAATGTAGCATTTTTCACCTCATCTGAAGCTTCAACCGATCGTAAAAACACCGTGCCATAGGGATTGTTCACAAGGATGTTAATCAAGCTCCTGTTATTCATGTCAGACCATCCATCTGACATAATGGTTACACCAGTCTCAATCCACGTCCTTTTAATCTCATCAATGCTACGCTCTGTGTTCAGCAGCTCCTCCTTTAAAATTCATATACGCAACTCATACATAGAAGGTGCCTTCAACCCTCTCCCATACAACCCTACAGACCGCAGCATATTGAAGTAGGCAGGCGACGTAGCAACATTAAAAGGTATGGCATTTAAAAAAAAAAACCTCCAAATATCCATGCAAACCTGGCGTCGACCCTCTCTAGTACCGGTCGTAGGCATCATTTGTGCTTGTCCTCTTTCCTCTTCTGGATTAGTCATATACTGATCCATAGGACCCCGTGCACCTCTGTTATGTATAGTGGAGGAAGATCCCTTTCCACTCTCGCTCCCAAAATAACCGTCATGTTCGACCCTATCATCAAATTGCTCCTATTGCAAGTGTTTTGCCATGATACTTTTCTTCCTGTAAGCACTTATTTCTTCCTTCACATTGTTCGGCACTTTTGCACACGGTGCTACGTTCTTATGAGAGCATGATAAGTGCTCCTTCATGCGGTTTACTCAGCCCTTCACCACTTTCTCATAAAAATTGCATTTTAAATAGACATACGTTTTCTCGCCCCCTCATATGTCAACTTGCACGCTATATTTCCAAGAAGGGTCACGCCGCAATGATGTATTCGCCTTTTCTTTACCTCTAACCATGTCTCCTAAAGCAAAAATCCAAAAACACAAAAAACAATAAAAAAAACATAAACCCTAGATTTTCTCAAACTTGAAAAATCTAACCCTAAACTTAAAAAAATACCTAAAATCCAATGTGGAGTACTCCTAGTGGGCGGCCGGAAGTTTCAACTTCGCCGGAGAGAGGCGGCGCCGGCGGGAGAAGCGGCGGGAAGGGAGCCGACGGCGTGCGGGCGCCCTCTGTTTTGCGAACTGGAGCGTGCGGGATGGGGAAATTTCGGGTTTGCTGTTGCCGTTCGGGTATAAGGAGAAAAAAAGCTTCAATTTAAGTGAGTGGGCCCAATCCCAGTGAGGCGTACGGCTCACTAAGAATTGCGCAATTGCGCCTCTGAGGCGCGCCTCAGTTCCAGCGAGGCGTACGCCTCTAACAGAGGTGGAATTGCGTAGGCTTCAAGGCGTTTTTGGGAGGAATTGCGCAAAGGCGCGCCTCTAATTGCGCAATTTTGAACAGAGGTAGTGATCTACTTTTAATAATAAAGAGAATAATGGGTTGTGCTATACAAACATGTTTGATTTTGCTAATTTTGAATTCAAGCCCATGAATTGAAGTGAAATGTCATTTAACTCTTTCAGCTTCCTTGGCCGCCCAAATGTCGCCAATTTAACTAAACTGAGATATAAAGTGATTGGGGTAGGTTCATATTAATTAGCTAAGCAAGTCAATTCTAGCTCATGTACGATGCTTTCAACCCAAACTAATTGAACATATTTGGAAAATGAGTCAATTTTAAGAATTTGAGTTACATTTGACCTGACTATTTAACTCTAAGTCGATTGATTAATTATGCAGTTAAGTCTAGCTTAGATTGATTGAATTAGGCGTGAAGATATTGATTCAATGTTTAGGCTTGAACCAAAGCGATGTCAAGCCAAACTCAAATTTATGTAGCCCTTCTAGGTAGATTCTCACAATCACGGTTGAAATTAGCGGACACTGAATGAAGTTAATATTAAGCTTAGGCAAATTTGATAGCAGCTTTGACCAAATTTTACATGAGATCTAGTCCAAGCAACTTTAAGCAAGCTCAAGATTGAGTCAAATGGAGTCCTATATATAGGTTGAGTTGGTATTAACTCAAGGAAGTCAAGATTCCATTGACCTTTTTCAAAATTCAACTTGAGTTGAATCAACTTGGGAAATTCCAATTAGATGCTGACAGCTAATAATCCGGTTTCATCAATTATGTCTACATTAAGTTAGCATGAGGTGAGGCATTAAGGTACTCGATTGGTTTGAATAAGATTGAGTTGAGCTTTTAATCATTGTAGTTGATTTTGAATTTGTTCAAATCAGCTCGAGTAGGATTAGCCAAGCAGAACAGAATTGGATTAATATTCTTTGTTTAGCTCTAATAATACTCGGTGCTTCTTTGCAATTTTGATATATGTTCTTTTTCTAAGCATGCTCTTACTTTTTTTTGTGTGGTTTATTGAAGGAAAGCTTAAAATATTTTCTTTCCAAGGGTTCCTATACTCCAACCATGCAACTTTGATAGGATGGCTTGTTTTGTAAATAAAACTAATTAATAAGGAGCCTTCTCAAAGGGTGGAAACTTATATTTTGAATTATATATTTTCTTTTGATTTTTGAGGCATCTGTGCATGGGCATACTGTATACATACTTTTTCTAAATAATCCCCAATTACTTGGCGAGAGTTTATTTTTTGAGTTTGATGGTTTCAGAATAATAAGAAAATAACATATGATCACCTCAACTAGAATGTTTTCATTTTGCTTAAATATGTTGATTTTCTTCTTTACATTGTATGTAATTAACCTGTAAGTAATTGGATTTCAGGAGGGCCTAACAGCCACACTAAGCAAACTTCAGATTTTCTCTGTGGTATGCTTCTTAATCTTATGATCTGAGTTTATTTAATCAGACAAAAGTTATGTTGATATACAATTTGAATAGTTCTTTTATGATTATTTAGTGCAATCTGGTTTGATTCTAATGAATTTGATAATGATAATTAAAAAAAATACCATGTTATCAGAGAAAACCTAAAATTTGATGCAATATTGAAATCATTGAATGCTATGTAAATTAACATTGGACATTTCAGCTTCTCAGAAATCCAATATGAGTTTTGTGATGTGTGCTTATATGTATTGGAATGCTAGCACATATGCGTCTGCATGATAGGTGCATGCATGGGGAAATGACTCTTTACTCAATAATTTATGCTGATAATTTTTCTATTTAGATTATATTTATGAAAGCATTTAGTTTAACTATTTCATTGTAGCATGTTAGAGAGTAAACCTTTATATAGAAAAGTGATAAAAAAGGTGCTAAACTTTTGTTTAGATTTCTTAGTTATCAAAATCATGAGCAATTTATATTACTGATATTACACTATGTATTATGATGATGGTTGTTCCATTTAAACTTATGTTCAACGTCAATGACCAGATTAATTAAATATTCTATTACTTTATTAGCATATTGTATTTTAGGAATATTTATATGTGATTTTTTTAGGTTTATTCCTTGGATTTTTATTTTTTTTGGGATTTACTTTCTGCCAAATTCATCAGTGTTTTATTTTCAACCCTAGTGTCTTTTCAGTATAAATGAGGACCCTTAGGGCTAGGTTTAAGTATTGAAGGTTGAATAAAATTATGAGATTTTAAGTAATAGGTTTTAGAAGTGTATTAAGTTATGGACCATATCTATTGTACCCTTGCATGTAAAGGATAGTCCTTGAAATAGAACTTACAACTCTATAATGAAAAAGTCTAAAGATTAGGATTTACAATCCCGTCCTATAGTTACGTCAACTTGTAGAGTTTTCTTGTTTACTATGGATGGCCGATGGCCTTCAAAGTTTTGTGCAATTGTATCAAAAAATATTTTGGTGGTGTTCATGATTGAGTATTGATCCTCTATTTGCTATAGAAAAGGCTTGTTCGATTGTTGGACATGGCAGCTGAAAATTATTTTCTTACAATTCGGGTAGCTCTTGGAAAGCAGATCTTGTCTATGCCTTCCCTTGTATGCGGAGGATTGTGCTTTTGTTGGCCAGTATTTTTCCTTGGTTACATGATCTATACTCGTGTGTATTAGGAGATCGCATGCTTTGATAGAGTCTTGAGAGAGTCTGGGCATTAACCATGGTTTTCGAAATTTTTTGGAACTTATATAATTTTTATACTTCGATATTTTTTTTTTCATAGTATCGCCATTTTCAAATTTTTACTCCCATCTACAACGCTTATGATTGCATTCCTAACGGTGACATTTTTCTCATAGTTATGCTACGACCATTTCATATTATTATTTTTGCTCGAATAGAATCATTGGAGAGGGACTTGAATGGAGTTTGAATCAGAAATGTGTTCATATTTCTTTCAAAGTGATCGTGTTGCGTTTGCATTTAAAAGCATGTGTAGCTCTTTTTTAGTGCAATTCATTTTGCATCAGGAGTCTCTTTGAAGGGCATACAAACTTTTTTGGAGTTATTTTTAATTCAAGATTTCATCCTTCGATTGATGAGTGTTTCATAGTGACGTGTATGTGTATGCTATGACATTCTTTTTGTGAACTAGTTTGCATACTTTTTCAATGTGCAACTCAGCACGATTTCCAATTGATTGCTTTGCATGCTTCATAATGCATAATTTTACCTGCTTTTTGATTCACCATATGCACTTTTTTTAGGCATCACACTGTGCTTTTAATGCATTGCATATCCATACTTTTCAGCGGACTTTCCGATACACTGTCTTGTTCACTTCCATTCACAACTTTGCTTTTGTTTGCATTCCCATTGGTGACTAGTTTCTCATAGTTCATGCTATTATAATTTCATAATATTATTTTTCCCTGGATTAGTGTTGTTTTTCTGCTGTCAACAGCAGAAATCTGCTGTTTTCTGTTCTGGACAGCAACATTTTCACTGTTTGTTCACCGATTTGGGTTAGGATTGCTTGCGAACTCAAGTATTACCTTAGGGTTACTTGCGAACTCAAGTATTTCCTATCATGCATTCGCATACTTGTGAAGGGTATTAAAAGTAGTACACTCCAAGTATTTTGGTTTCAGTGCATGGGGTGCTGCGACTTAGGGAATCTAGCCTACAACACCAATGAAGGTGCTTGGGGGCATTTTTGCATGGTGTTTTGCCATGTAAAATCTGTTAAAAAATGCGCTCTCCAGTGCATCAAATGATTCTAAACGTGCCACAAACAAGGAGATCTAAATCTTGCTCTCATATTTCGTTCATTGTTGTCAGGTGTTTGTGAGCGGACGAGTGAGAGAGACAAAGAAAATAAGAAATTATGGAGTGGGGAGCTTGAGTAGGGTGTATGTGCACAAGGAAGAACAACTGAAGGGAAAAGAGGTAGGGGTGAAACAATTGAGCATGTGTGAAAGATAGTTTGTGTGAGATAAATGGAGAATGATGGGAAGATTTTTATATCATTTTATTTATTTATAATAATATGAAGCGTGGTAGCTACAAGTGTAGGTTAGCATGCATAACTGAGGTTACTTGCGTGTGTGAAACAAGAGTACATTACGCGATGCTTTTTGGTTTTATCCTTTCCTTTTGATTTGTTTTATTTGTTTTTTTCTTGAAGAAAAACTATAACAATACTTAATGTTAATTAGTGAGAGAGTGCACACAAGATGAAATGAATCAGGTAAGTTGCGTGAATAACTTTTCATGTGAAGAACATGGTGGGAGTGAAGCTTTGGTAGGAAGAAATAATGGGTTTGACTTTTTGTTTGATTTGTAATTATTATTATTTTTCATTTACTTCTTTTTTTAATGCAATTTGATTATTAGTGCTTTTCTATTATCATTATTAAAAAAAAAAAAGCCACCATGAGCTTCTTTTTTTGATTTTTTTTTTGTTTTTGTTTTTGAGCTTGATCTTGTTTGTTATATATTTCCAAAGGCGAGAAGATAGGCGTAAAAAAAGTCGAGTTTAGCGAGCTCAACTATATCTCCGCTCATTAAGTAAACGTGCATTTTTTTATTTGGGCTTTTGACTCATTTACTCACAACATGACATAATGGAGAAAAATAATTCATGTTATCGACCCCATGTTGTTGGATAAAGGCTTGTTGTTGTTATTGTGCTGGTGGTGTTTGCCTCATTACTCATTGAAATGAATGTATATCTATTTTTTTAGTAGAAATTTTAGTTTTATTCCTATCTTTTTTTATTTGTGATCAAATTTTTTATCTTCATCACACACACACACACACACACACACACATATATATATATATATATATATATATATATATATATATTATTTTGGCTTGTTTTGACGTATATTGCATTAATAGTTAATAATAAGGGTTGAGAGTTTGAGTGAATATCTGTTGTTTTCTCGATGCTGAAGTGTATTGGGTTGTCTGGACGATGTTGTGGTTGATCCATGAGAAAGGTCTCACTGTTTTCTTCTGTGCTTGGCGTTTAATTGCACTTTTTATTAATTGATGTCATGTTTCTTGGTTGTTTTCATTTAGAATGTCGAACTAATTCTTATTGCTAGAAGAGCTGTGAACTTGGGCCTTGGCAAAACTATTTAAGAATGCGGAACACAGTTATAGAGTAGGATAAAGCTTGATGGCTATGATGTTGATTATCAGCTTTTCTGGCCATTTTTTTTCTCTTATCTTATTGATATGGTACGTTTGGTTTTGTTGGTGGCTGTTAGCATCTGAAGGTCATTCTGTATTTTCCTTTTGATTCAATTCCTTGTCCTATATTACTTTGTTGGGAATTATTTTACTTGCAGCCAACTATACTGTTCTATCATAATGGAGAAAAAGCTTCGGAAATTGTGGGTGCTGATGTGACAAAGCTCAAGGAAACAATTGAGGGACTTTACAAGTAATTCCTCTGAATCTGGTTTTGTCCTCTGAACTGATTAAAGCTTTTTAAAGACAGAACTTGATCAGTTGAAAACGTTAATTTGGTAATCCTGCCGGCATGTAAAAAGTGAATCTTGTAAATAGCTCCTGAAGCAGCAACGGTGAAAAAAACGTTTATTAAACATGGTATTTCTGCAAGGTTGATCTCATAATCACTATTCCTCTAAATAATAGTTCTATGCCTCTATTTGTTCCAGTATGCATCTTGTCTATAGTCCTCTAAATGTAGCATCTTGTGAATATAGTCCTATAAATGTAGCGCTGCGTTTATCTAAATGGCAGTGATATTGATTTAGAGGTTAAACATCAGGAGTTGTTGATTTCCTATATCATTTAGCTGTTGCAGAGTAGGGGCTGGGAGAATTACGAGGAAGAGAAGAGGGCAGTGGGAAGGAGAAATAGATAACAGATAGTCAGAGGGTGACAGAGACGGGAGAGGAAGGGGGCAAACGGAAGATTTGGATGTCTAAAAATGGTTAGATTTGATATTGATGGAGAAGGTTTTATGTACTTGGTAAATTGGTGTATAATCATAATCAGACTAGCAATATTTGAAGATCAATTATAGCTTAGTTCTCATAAATTAATATCCAAAGCTAGAGTTGATGCTTTGAAGGGTATGACTTGTGTTGGCATTGTAACAGTTTGTGCTTTCTCGAAATAGATTGTTGAATTTTTTAAAAGGTCTTTTTAAAATTTGAGGGTAGACAAGCATGACCATTGACTCAAACTTTATACAAGTTGTCATTCGGTGTTTGCATGGGATGAATAATTTAATGAAAATAATGGAATAGTCTTTATGATTGCTATGAAGATGTTTTAGGGTCTTATTTGGGGCAACTTTTTAACATCATTGTTTCCTAGAAATTCAATATAATTTAGCTTTTATAATTCCCAACTGTTTTTCAGAAATTTTTATGATAAGAAGCTTCTTTTTAAATTTAGATATGTGAAATATAATAGGTATTAGAAGATTTTTGTCTGACTTTTCAACTAAAAAAAATTAATAGATTTCTTAGAATATGTTTTCCCCGTAGCAGTTCTACAACTATTTTTATAAATAATTGTAGCTGTCTCAAATGAGTCCTTACTATTTTACATTATTTATAGATTGCATAAGTATGATTTGGTTTGTGCTCATTTGTTGAGAACCATCGCTAGCAAATATTTCTTCGTTTATGGTAGATTTCTATTCTTGGAATACAGTATTACGTTTACTCGGTTATTTGAAACTATTTTTAAGAGTGGTTCATAATTAATCTCCCATCACAATCTTAAACAGAACAAGATCAGACAATGACTATATAATGACTTCGAAGGTTTTTTTAATCTCACCATCTTTATTGGTAGTGGCGTATATTGATAAAAACTGCTTCGTAGATGCTTATTTTTACACTAACAAAGTTGATGGATACTTGTCTTACAAATATTTGCATTAATGTGACTTTGATGATGAATTTTAACGATTATGGACGTTAACTAATAAAAATGGTGGTTGCAACAACTTCAATGGATTCGTTGGTTATACAGAATTATAGTTAGGTAATCTGGAGCTATAACTAAAGATATATCTATTTGATATTGATATTTTTATCAAAGCAGTAGAACAGTAATAATGTGTACCATGACATTTCTTAGCCCGCTAGCACTATATCCTATTGTTTTCTTTGGTTTGGAGAAACTAACTGATGTAGGCAAACTAGAAAGAAAAGTCAAGATAGGAGAACACAAGGACAACTAGAACAAAACTCGATTCAATCTAGAATGCAGAAATCCAAACAAACACCAAAACAAACGAAACAAAATCTTAAAATAAAAACTATATCCTCAGAACAACCGGCAAGCGGTTTCCTCACATGCAAAAAAAAGTAGGTAAAATAAGATAAGTGCTTAGGGCTTGCAAACCAAGGGTCCACCACAACAACAAGGTCCAACGTCCAATCAAACTCCTCCAGCAAATGTCACCAAATCAGCCAACAAACAACTTCTAAAAGCTCAAGAAGAAGGATACAAGTGGAGTGGAACTTGTGGAGAGAAGAAGAGGTAAGAAGCCCAGACGAAATAGAGAGGAGAAGAGAAAGGAAACTAGCTCGCAAGCTATAACATAACCCGCAGGTTTCACATTCCAAATATTTTCTCACCAAAAAATACTTGGTCAAAAAATTTTCTTTGGTCTTTGGGCTGCTGGTTGATCTCGGGTTGGACTTGGCTGCTTGGTTTTGAGCTGTGTTTTTTGGAACTTCTTTGTCCTAGCTCATTAATGTTTGAGCTGCTGTTTTAGCTCATTAAGTGGAGCGGAATTTGGCCCTTTCCCCATCTCTTTGCCTCTTCGGTTTTCCCTTTTTGGGTGCTGGTTTTGGTTCTATGTGCTGTCCCTTCGGTTTCTCCCCTGGCTGCTTTTACCCGGTTCCTGTGTTGTCTTTTCGGGTGCTGTTATGGATTTAATTCTGGCCTGGTTTGGGCTGTTTGACTCCCTCTTTCCTCCTATAATTGGTGGCGGTTTGGTTCCTGTTTTTGTCTAGATTCATGACTTTGATTGTTTGGTTTTTGGGAGCCTTAAATGCTGCCATTGTTCCAAGAGTTTCTCCTGTTTTTGTTGGATGTTTTGGACAGCTGTTTTAGGCATCTTTTGAGCTTCTTTTTGTCTATTTATAGGTAGTTTTTGTGGCTATTTTAGAGTTTTTTGGAGAGATATGATGTTATTTTTGGATCTAAAAAACCTGAGGGTTTTTCTTCTTTCTTGGAAAAGCTTCAGAGCTTGTTCCACTTCTCTTCGTCTTACTCTTGGAAAGCTTGCGAGCTTGTCCTCCCTTCATCTCGAACTTCTCATCTCCTTCTTCTCCCCGCAAGTGACCACCCCATCTGTACCTTTCATCTCAAGCAAAGAACTTCTTTAGGTGTTGTTTGTGTTTGTGTTTGTAAGTTGTCAAAGTTATAATGTGTCTTTCGGTTTAAAGTTGTATTTTGTTTTAAATGTCGTATTTTGTCTAATTTTTAGTATTTAGTGTAATTTTTTATTTCCTAGGAAGAGTTTTTCTTTTGCTTGCAAAAATTTGGGGCTTTTCCAAAATTTTGCTTGCATCACTAACCAATGGCTAGTGCCAAACTAGGCTGAAGACTCGTTGAATCAAAGCTTGATGCACGTTTGAAGATGCGCCTGGTGACCAGTGACCTTCTGCCTCTCCAGGACACATGTTTCAAAGCGTTTATATGTTGTTTTTGTGACTTTATGTGACCTTTCTTCTTCAAGTTAAGCTGTGCTTAAGAGAACTTGTATGCATGCAGTAGATAAATCTTAGATTATCCACGCTGTGTCACTCAACCAACGTTTAAGCTAGGTAAATAGCCTCAGCTTTGGTTGTCCATCTTTTATTATCTACTTATAAAGAATCTGAGCAATATTTTTAAACTTATTGCTTCAAATCCATGTGAAAATAACAAGGCCCTTGTTTTGATCTGTATTCTATGTACATTTGACTTATGCATTTAAGATAGTGTCTGATTGCGAACTCCAGTATTTCTAAATTTGATGCTTCTAGAATTTTGCAAGTAATTTTGTTACACCATAGATAGATAAAATATGGTGGGCTTGGGGGATAAGGTAGTGGCTCGAGTTAGGCTTAAAGGGACTTGGCCGAGAGATGAGAAGGGAGATGAAGGCTTTTAATGAGATGGAGTGTAGAGGCATGTGGAAGTGGTGGAAGAAAACTAACGTTTGTTGTGATGGGAAGAATCAAGAGCTTAAAGGGAAGTTGATGAGAGCTTTAGGAGGAGGCTGAGCAGGTAATGACTTGAGATTGTGGGAAAGTGAAGGACATGCAGTTGAGAAATAGAATACTGGTATAACAAAAGGATAACACAATTCTCGCTCAAAATTTATGATTGACTCAACCACCAAACTTCCAGTCATGGTTTCGACCAAAGAGCTTCAACTCATTAAAAAAACTTCTTTCATTTAAATTTAACAAAGCTTTGTTCTATATGTCAATTCAGCATATTTATCATTTTTCCTCTCATTACAAAATCATTTGAAAAATTCAAATTCAAGAGTAAATAATGTCAATTAGAAGAGATAAGTTATGATGGTTATCGGTTTCAAGAGTTCTATGAACGACCCTCAAATGTATTTGTCAATAGTATAGAAGTATACTTTTGAAGTTTTTTATTTTTTATTTATTTTTAATAATTATATTTTATTGATAAAGGCGATGTCATGTCAAAGAAAAAACCTTTCAATTGCTATGATAATGCTTTGGTCCAGATAATATGAATTTAATTGAAAACTTGTCCCTAATCAATCTTTGAAATTCTTCAAATTGCTATGGAAAACGAAACACTGCATTCATCTCATACAATTTTTAAATGAATTTATCGTCTTTATTAAACTTCACTTTCAATTATTAAACATTGCTATCCATTGTCTTTTTTTGAAATTTTTTATTAAACTTACGGAATTACACTCTACTCTTCCTTTCCTAGCCCTATGCAATATGCAAACTTCGAGTTATGGCCATCACCTTGAGCTTTACATATTTATTGTAATATCCAAGCAAATTTTCTTCTGGCCTTTCTAGATTCATTGTAACGTTCTTAAGTAAACTTACCACATGACTAAACATTGAATCTCATCATTGTCTGACATCAATGTTTTTGTGTATCAGTTTTTAAACTTTACGTTCTCTATAAGGTTGTAGGCGATATTCTTTATCCTATATTTTTGGACGGATGCTTTTTTTAACTTCAAAACACATTGATGATAAGTACTTTTTTGTATGAGCTTCTTCCTCTACTATAGTCAGTAGGTTGGGCTTAAATCAGCCAGAATTTTCTCAGTTTAGCAATATTTTCAGCAAGATAAGGCCTTTCGTTTTGCAAGCTTTTAATCTTTTCATCTTAAGCTTTGTTTGTTTTTTTGGTGCTTTTGTAAAAGACAGTTTTAAAAAACATTTATTTAGAAAA